CACAGTCCTAGCTATAAACACGCCGTGGTGTTTGTCAGCGCTGCTCGTCGTGTGTTGCGACGGGAGGCAGCTGGCCAGACACAAAGCAAACCAACCCCAGGGCGTACGTCGATGACTGCGCCCCCTTGCCTGAACAGATCTGAACAGGCCTGAATCTCTGGAACCCAACTGCTTTGCGCTGCCCCTGAAGCCTGACAGCGGCAAACACTTCCAGTTTGAAAGTGGAGGCCTATGGGCCATAGTTCATAGTTGGATGCCCTAATGCACCCATCAGACCCTCTTGTGAGACCCTGCAAGCTTTACCCAATGGACATCCCCCACCTCCGCAGCCAAAGGCGAGCGCCGAAGCTGTAGCAATGTGGCCTGGCGCGCCCTCACAGCGGCCCTTGGAACCAACCCACAAAGCCACAAAGCCACAAAGCCATGTCTCAAGCGACCAATCAGGGGCCCAATGTACGCAGGTTCAACAGCCATTCAGCACTTGGTGAGTCAAAATTGATGCTGGAACCTTGATCCATCTTGATCCTATATTTCAAATTCAACATGCTGCCGGCTTATGCCAGTGTCAATTTATGACAGCACCTTCAACTAACAGAGCGTGTGTGTGTGTGCCAACTAGCTATTTTCACATACCCTCACATTGGCGCAGCCTGGCTTCGGCGAAGGCAAGGCTTTTTGGATATTTGTTGAAATGAACATTGCTGCCATCCCTGCCACTACATTGCCCGGAAACTTGGTTCCTCATTGGTTCCTCCTCATATTCTCAGTTGTTCAGTGACCCTGGAAAGAAAAGGGAACCCTTTTTTTTGGCACACGGCGGGCGACGATTCGCCGGCTGACGGAGGGGCATGCCGCCCAACCATCTGTCCAGGCCTGGTGGGACAGGTGCCCACCAGTGACACATACCACAGACTGTGGCAGAAAGAGGCACTCCTCACGAGGTGAAACACGAAGCCTCCAAGGGCAGGACGCCCTCATCTCCAGGACCAGGGGCCCTACAGCTCCAGGCCTCCACCACCACTGCACCCAGCGCACTGTCATGCGAGGGACCCAAGTGAAAAGGCCCAGTCGCGAGGAACGCGGCCCAGCCGGGCCGCCCGCATCCGAGCACGCTCAAGGAAGGCATCCTCCTCTGGAGTGCACTGCAACCGCACTCCAGAGAAGGCCCCCCGGGGCCAAGCCAGGCCCGCATGCACCCAGGCGGGGCTCCCACTTACCTGGAAAAGCAAGTGGGGCCCTACAGATGACACAGCGCCGAGCTGCTTTGAAGTGTACCAGAAGGTCTTGCACCGTGGCAGCGCGGCCATCCTGATAGGGTAGGACAACCGGGTAGCGCCTCCACACCACCAACGCAACCAGGCCCGGCTGGAAGGAGTCCTCCGCAAGCAGCCATACTGCACCATGAAGGAAGCTGCTCCAGGCCTCCCACGACGAGGCACCCATAGTCCAGTCGCCAGGTTTCCCCAGCGGGGGAAATGCAGCACAGAAGCGCGGAGGGCCATGGCACGGGGCCGGTAAAGGCTCAGGGGGGGGGGGGCAGGAGCTACAGGGCACAGGGCTTCACCAGGGTCAGGGGCGGGCACAGGGGGAAGGGGGGTGCGCGGCCTCTGCAACCACAGGTGACGGCGGTAGGTGGCAAAGAACAGGGCATCAAGACGCCGGGCAGGGGCAGCTAAGGAAGCCCGGGCGGCAGCCTTGGCAGCAAGGTCAGCCGCATGGTTGCACCGGGCATGCAGAGCCTCAATCGCGTGTGACGCAGTCGACACCGTCACATGACCACGAATCCAATGAAGCTCAAGGGAGAAACCACCAACAGCACGCGACCGGACAAGAGACCCAAGGACCTGCCAGAGATCAGCAGCAGCAAGGTGCGGTGCCACCCCACCAGACCCGCTAATGGCATGCCAAGCCTGGACGGCAGCCTGGGAGTCAGTATGCACCACCAGGTGACCACGAGCATGCATGGCCGCACGCACAATGGCATACACCTCCGCAAGGTAGTTGTCCGCAAAGACACCCGGAACCGCACCAGCATCAACCGTGGCACACGAACCTGACACAACGGCGTAACCAGCCGCCGCAAGGAAGGGGTGCTGAGGCAAGTAGACACTACCATCAGTCCAAAGGTGGGTAGTGTGCCGAGGCCCGTAGCGTGGAAAAGGAGAAGTAGCAGGCCACGGCTGGGCTGCACAAAACGCCGACCGAAGGTCCACAGGCACTTCAAGCAGGCCATGGGTAGCGAAGGCAGGTCTCTGGTCAGGAACAAGGGGGGGGGGGGGGTTGGCCAACCTCCCCGGGCAGGGCCTGACACTCGACAAGGTGTCCAATGGTCTCCTGCTCCCGACCACAGTACCGACAGAGAGAGCCGCCGGACAGGCCCGAGGCATGGAGCCGGTCAGCAGTGACAGCCGAACCAACCACAACCGCCGGGGCCACGGCCTTCCTGGAAGGAAAGAGACGGGCAAAGGAGGTCCACCGAGGACAGGGGGGGACGCTCCAAAAACAGCGAGAAAAGGCGACATCCAGGAGACCCGTAGGGCCATGGGCAATGTCGGCACGCTTGCCCCGGCAGGCCCTCGTGTAGGCATGCTGGGGTATGGTCCACTGGAGCAGACGCTTGAGCGAACGCAGGGACATACCGAAAAGGGAAAGCCAAGGGCCATGATCAAAGGCAACAGAGGCAGGGGCCTGGAAACGGAGACCGCAAGCAGTGACTGCCGACACGAAAGCCGCCACAAGGGTTGAAGGCATCAGGCGCTGATTGGTGAAAGCAAGCCTCCACTTGAGGCTGAAGACCTCCAAACGCTGGAGATGGGCCGCAACATTAAGGATAGTGCGGTATGGCAGTGCATACTCCGGATGGACCAAGTGGCCCGGATGAACAACAGCAAGCAGGAGTTCCCGGGACCTCCACATGGGCCGACCATCCCAGAGGACAGAAGCGACTTCCGAAGCAAGGGCACAGAGGACCCGCTTGGGCACAAAGTTGAGCTCAGCCGCATACGACAGCATGGGCATGCAAGGCAGCGGAGAGCGGGAGACTCCGGATGGCACGGAGCGCCCGCCGAAAGCTCGCAACTGCTGGAGCACGGGCATCCCGGGTACCACGGAGATCCAGATTGATCGTGACACCCAAGGGACGTAGGGCTTTCAGGCGGGGGGCCTGAGGCAACGCAGGCTGAAGCTCCGCCACGCAAGCATCCTGAGTGGCCCACCATCCTGACTTGTGGAGGTTGAACTGCTGGCCTGCCAAGGCGTCAAAAAGAGAGGTAGCGCGGACGGCCTGGACCAGGTTGGGAATTGCATCCAAGGTGGTCACGGTCATTTTCCCATCGTCAACGAAGACCCTGGGCGTGACACCCGGAAAGCCACCCATGAAAGGACCCCGCAAACAGGTGGGTGACAGCCAGCGGAGCATCAAAGTCCGGGTCGGGGACAATCCAGACCTGCGAATCAAGGTCCACCAGGGCCACACGAGGCATGGTGCCAGCCACCAAGGCGCTCCTTTCACCCTGAAGTGACAACCAGGCCGGTTGAGGAGGGTGGTGAATTGCACCGGGGCTCTCAGGCTCAAACATGAGCCGGCGCACCCGGGGAGTGGCATGCAGGTCAGGCGGAAGGCCAGGGGAAAAGGCAGAGCACACCCACTCCGTTGGGGAGATCCCAGCATCAACCCTGCGCCAGGCCTCAGGATCGGGATCCTGAAAGAAAACCCCCTCAGACATCAGGGCATCGAGTGTGGCCAGAGTGGTGGAAGAAAGGGCAGACAAAGCCCGCAGCACCGCCGGGTCCCGGGACAACATGGCCACAGCCAGCAACAGGCAAAGCCCCAGCACGCAAGAGACCACCGCCACACAGCAGAGCAGACCAGGGGGGCCGCGCACAAAAGAAGGCGGGGCGCCACGGAGGAGACCGTGACTTGGTGGACGCCTGACGCACCGGGGAGTGTCGCCAGGCCCTGGGAGCCCGATCCCTGAGCCCTAATGGTTTTGGACCAGAACGGCTAAAAGGGAACCCTTTTTTGGGAAGACCATTGTTAGTGGGGCAGCCACCACCACCCCAAAAAAACAACGGGTGCCACGGAACAACTGAGTATTGCCGAAAGTGGCCGCAACAGCACTTCATGTTCCGCACTGCTTTTGCAGCGCTTGCCTCGGCTGCCCGACGCTGCTCGAGACTCAGGGAGGCTGATGAGGCAAGCGCGCAGCAGCGGCGGAAGTGGTCAGCATCCATGGCGCCATGGGCGCCGTGGCAGTCCAACCGCGTAAAGGCACGGAGAGTTTCTAGGTCCTCCAGTAGAAAGCTTAGAACAAGTTGGTACCCTTCTTTTTTCCGTTTCTGTTTATTTTAGTGGGGGAACCCTCCCCCCAAAAAGGGCAAACGGGCACTACTGGGGGACCTAGGCCTTATCGATGCATGTCACTCCTCCACGCGAAGGAAGTGAAGCTTTGGGTCGGGGGGGGATTATGGGCTGAAGGCGCGCATGTGGCCAGACGGGCTCAATCTCCCAACACCGGAATCTGATGGTATCCTCATAAGTTACGTCCTGCTGGAGCCACCACAGAGCGAAACATGCTCCAGCCGCGAGCCCCACAGACCGCCACATCGCCAGACGAATGCAGAGGCAGCCTACATCACGTACATGAAAGCAGCACACGCTATGTATCCCAAGAATGACATGGTGCAGTCACTCCAGGCGCTGTCCCACTTGTGCGAGCTTTCGAAACCTGCGAGCCACTGTCCAATATCTAGTGTGTCCCAACTAACTTTCGATTTGAGGGAGCAACATCATTTCCTAGCTTCCTAATGGTAATTTGGGGAGTGCGCCCCATGTCCTCCATTTGCTTAAGTCCCCTGGAAAATACAAACATATTTCCAGTAGTGATAGATTCCCTTTAAAAGCACCAGGGGAAAATAATAAATATTCCTCTCACCAAATGGAAGATGCCATTCCCATTGCTACAGGACATGATGCAAGCCTTCTACTCTGAGGACAGCGCGCCGAAGACCCTGAGCGCTTGCGCCACTGCCTTGCCAACCTGATGGCAGGTCCAGCTGCTCAACTGGCAGTGGGTCAAAAATATGTACCCAAAATGGAAACCCTGGTAAATGGAAACATGGATTAAACCTGTGGTCGCATGGTGGTTTAATTTTGACCCACAACCAACTGAAAGTCCAAGTCAGTTGTGCAACTCCGCTGGAAGTCCCAAGTAGAAGCCCGCAGAAAAACACTAAATAATTGATACATACCATCTTCCAGGCAGGTAGTAGTATCGAAGGGTGTGAGGCATGCAGCCTTAGCTCATGTCGAAATGGAGCCCAAAACTACATTGAGCTGAACTGCCCTAACCATGGCCCTCAGCCTGCTCTAGACTGACTAACCTAAGCACTGGAAGTGCACCCGGAGCCCCCAGCGTTCAAAAGCCTTCTCACCCGAGTGCACCCACGACATCCAAAGTCCTCGTGATTCTCGTTCGCCCACCCTTCATTTTGAACAGCCCAGTTTTAGTAGTGTGCTGCTGTGCTGCCCGTTGCTCTCCCTCAGCGTGCGACAGGCCTTGTGGCATTTCCACCGCAAACCACAACACAACTTTCGCCAATGGAATGATAAAGGATCGCCTCATTCATGACACTAAGCTGCAGAAAAATGATCAAACAATCGGTGCCGCCTTCCATGAACGCACATTGCCCACCAAGCAGGATGACATGCCGTCTCAAACCCTGCTTGGCTGATGGTGCTGGCTGCTTTTACTGGCTTGGTTTTACTGGGACGCAGCGAACGATTTACAGAGCATGAGTTCAACCCACAAGAAAAAAATGCAACACTCCAACTCCCTTCAATACAAGGGTATGAGATTAGATGGCGTGAGCTGATTTGTTGGGATTCGGTTCTGAGTAAGACCTCTGCACAACGAAGTGGACTGAACACACGACAAAGCAAACTCATCAGGCTTGCTCAACGCTTGACATCAGCCGGAGTTCGAGTACCAGTTTGACTGTTGAACCTCAAATATACACGACTGTTGCATTTTCTATGCCAGAGGGCAGCAGGCAGAACTGCCCAAAGTTGAAACAGTTGGCATGCTGCCTTGCAGAAATGCCGGAAGAAAAAAAAACGTTGACAAAAGTGTTACACGCAACTTTTGGACTCACACCGACCCCAACGTCCGTCTCACTTTCCCAAACTATCGCCTGATGGGGCTGCAAAGAGTCTGCCGCGTAGGCAGCGACGCTTCTTGCCAGGCGCTCCTCGCGGCAAATGCGTTGGCAACCCCGGCAAGTTTAAACGCAGATCTCCAGACTCCAGACTGGTGCCGATGACGCCCCAAGATTCCCACTGCAAATCCATCGCTTGATTTGGCGGGAACGTGAGCCGCTCATCTCAGAAGGTTAACTGAGCCGAGTGGTTGCTGACCCCTTGAAGCTCAGCACAAGCTAAACACTGCACACGACATCTCCTTGCAAGAGATGGCTCACTACAAACTTGCAGCATAGCGCAACGTGGCGTGAACGTATCAATGATCAATGCATTCCGTGGACTCATTCCAGCCCCGCCACTGCTCTGAGCACAGGTTTGACAGGCTCCAAGCTTCTCTAACGTGAAAGCTCCAGTTAATTACCTCTGTGGTGTCAAAGGTTCTGATCTCATGTGCAAAAACGTGACTAGGGAGGTCGATGGACTCCTGAGTTCTCCCAGCCTACCGCACATCTTTTCTTCAGCCGGCTTGGGATGGTAGCTTACGTGTTCGACAAGTTAGTGGTTCGCCACCTGGACTATAACCCACAAATGACTGGGGTTAACCCAGTCACCTGTGGTTGCAACCCAGGTGGCAAACCACTTAGGCCGAACACCCAAGTACCAAGCCGGCAAATCGCTTCGATTTCGATCTATGCGACTCAGTCCGGTGAGAACTGCCTTGCACCGTGCCCAAACCCGTCCCAAGGCGTGCGCTCCTCCTCCAGTGCCCAAGCCTTCTTGTCCCGAAGACCTCTCAGAAGGGAAAACTCAGCTTTTCTTTCGAAAGAAGCGAGGGAAACGGGCAAAAAGCAACAAGTAATTACAGGGTCACTGGACTTCCCCTGAAGTTGATTAACTTTCTGCGGGTTTCCAAATCGATCGCCACTTTTGGAGGTTCCAAAAAGGGAACTGGAGGGGCTTACCCAAGTTTCAGCTGTTCAAGTGCAGTGGTACAAAGGCACACAACCTGACCCATCCTCCGGCCGTGAGAGTGAACGTCAATATACCGAATGGCACCGTGCAAAACGGAGCGGAGACACACCCCATCACAAGGCATCATCCTGAAACAACTACGTCAGTGCCAGCACGTGAGCACGTCATTGCCAGCAACAAGCTCGACCATACCTTCATGTCAAACTGGTACTGCCTGATTGGGCCCCCTCCGAGGAACCCAAGACATGTCACAATGGCGCGTGTGCATCGGCCAGAGGAAAAAAAGCATCAGCTGCCCGATCTCCAGCTGAGAGTCCGCACCACTGGCCTCTAAGACCGCCTGAGGCGAAGCCAGGAGCCCAGCTAACAGCTTGGGCGATTGCCGTGAAAGCGCTCGAGCTTTCAGGACACGAGCATCTCTTTGAAACTCTGAAGTGCCATACTTTCAGAGTTGCTTCTTGGAGACTTGGTTGCTGTTGATCCCCCCGCAAAAAGTGAATAACTGTTTGCGGGTTTAGTGGAAACCCGCTTGAGTTCAACCAAAAAGCTAAAGTGTAAAGATCCAACCCACAGGGCACTCAAGGAGAAAGCATGGGATTTTCTTCGCGAGCATGGGCTCAAGCTACTTTGGGCGCACCTTCGCGTCGGCGCCCATCCGCGCTGGGGACTTGAAGCGAGTCTGCGCCTGTCGAAACAGAGAGACCTTTCGATAACTGCACTCGGTTGGCACCCGCACCCCTCAGGCGTATCCAAAATGTCAAACCAAAACTCGGTCCTCCAGAGTTGAGAGGTTAGAATAAGATGGTACCGACTTGTTTCTGTAGTCCATTTTAGGGGAACCCCCCCCCAAAAAAAAAAGAAGTAAAAGGGCACCACTGGGGGACCTAGAAAAAATAAGATCCACGGATACGTCAGAAACAACAAGTCACCAGCTTCTTGCCATGAATTCCCCATACCCTGACGAGAGATATCAAAATGCCTGGCAAGGTCGAGCAAATACACCAGGGCTTCCATCCACCCATGCAGCCAGAGAGTGGTGATGTCTTATTTTTTCCTCTGACGCACCTAAATGGGTTTGTCCTCACATGAGGGATGAAAACCATCAAATTTGAGGCTTCCTCTAACCCATCCCCCCCCCCCAAACAGACCGTTTCGGCTTCGCCTCATGTCACTAAGCTGGGAAGGGGCTGCATTTCCTATGTCCATGTCCTTCATGTCTGTAGTTGGGCAGCGGGCAATCTCTTTCCAGGGCTGAATTTTGGTATTCACTCACACCTCGTGGGATGGTACTCAAATGGCTGTGGGTCAAAACCCCTGAACATAAAATTGGCTCCGCCCCAAAATAGTGTGCCATAGGTTCTGACCCATGGCCAAAAATCACAGGCATCAGCTTCGCAGGGGCCAAGCCACTCCTGCGCCCGCCTGAAACAGCGCCGCCGCGAGGCCAAACTTCGCCGCCAGGTGCGCCGCCGCCGCCTCGTGGGCGCCAAAGGCCTTCGCAGCCTGCGACGGCGCCCCTGGCACCTCTGGCTGTTCTGAGGGTTGATTCCTTATCTGAATGTTTTTTGTTCTTCCCCAGCATCGTTCTTCTCGAACACCGGCCGTTTTTTTCTTTCTTTCCCCCCCCCAGCATCGTTCTTTTCGAACACCGGCCGTTTCCATGGGTTTCCGGGGGTTTTCTAGAAAGAAGGATCCCTGGAAAGAATGGGGAAGGTTGAGAAATGGAAGGAACCCTTCGGGGATTCCCTAAATAAAGGAAAAACCAGAGGCTATGGACGGCTTACAGGGGTTATTCTATTTCTGATTCCCTGACTATCGCACCAGCGAATGGAAAATATCTCCGAACGCAATCAAAAGGACACTCGTTGCTGGTGCTCAGTAGGTAACCCTTATAAACCATCCCTGTCTTTTTCCTTTTTTTTCTCGCTCATAATTCAGCCAAGCGGCTTTCTTGGTTTCTTTCACGATCAGCTCTGGGCTTCCACCTTGGGCAGGCCGTGTCAGGGGAAGCCATCTCCTGTTCGGTGCATCCTACGTTTTGTTTGCAGAATATGCATGGCGCCATCCGCATCTGGGCAGTACCAAGCAAGGGCAACACGGCCTCCGCGCCTCTGAACAAACGGGATTACAATGCAACCTGCAAGTAAGCAGTTTAGTCATCACCTAGTCGTGCTCTTAAGCCTTAACGCGCTTGGACACGCAACACCTGCGCCCCTTTCTGGCAAAGGCACCCTCTGTTGCTGCACGGGCAGCAGCAGCTTTGGCCGCTGCTGCTTTGGACAGCGTTGGTGAAGCCTGGCAAACGGGTCTGGGCTCGAGCTGTTTTGAGACGACTCGGGCACGGGTGGACGAATTAGCGGTCCATCCAAGAATCCAAAGCATCTTGATGCTATGTTGTCTTGTGGGTATGGTTTCAATCGTTTCATGCTGCATGCTGAAGCTTCCTCTGCACCGCACTGGGTGTCTAAGCGGCCTCCAAAAGCTCCGAAGCGAGGCTATCGTCTCGATAGCCTTCTTGTTCAAAAACGAGAATCCCCGCTGGAAGCAAGCACCGCAAGGTTCTTTTCCTCCTGCAGATGGTCAACCTGCCCGGGCTGATCTTACCCGCGTGAAACAGTACATTCTATCTGCCTCACTCCGAAGGCGATCTGAGGTCCTTCGGGTCAATGGCCACATGGTTGGCGGAACCACCATGCAGCAGGACCAACTCTCTGGAGCTCATGCCAAACCTGAGCTGATTCGCAACAAGGTTCCTGTGAGGCCTCAAAATACCGGCCGCGCGTTTTTGCGCAGGTCGAAAGCTGGAATGAGGCCAAAAAACATCAAATGTCATAAGGCCTAGGAGCTTGAGCACGTCCTTCTCCCGCAACTCTGTGTATCTTGCGGCGTCGATCCTCGTTCCATTCACAAAGGTCCCGTTGACACTCTCAAGATCCATGATGTAGGGCTTCACCACCCCACCTACGTCACGGCAAGAACTACCAACACCATGTGTCATGATTCAAAATATTGAAGCATAGTCTCATGAGGTCACGGGAAACAGTGCTTGCAGGGCATGTGATACCACATGCCAGCGGACAAACACTAAGACTCTAGAACAAGGCTGCAACCCGTGGCTGCAAACTTGCCAACATGCCTTGCACGCTGCTGGTTGGTTCTGCCAGGCTGCGGTAGCAAGACTCAACAATAGCTGGGCCGTGCTTGCTCGTCATATGCCCTTCGCTTCTTTGCAAAGTTGCATGGCAACATGTGTTCTTTATGCCTTGACATGGACACCCAAAAGCCCCAGGATGCTTCGTGCGGTGCGGATCATGTTTTGACAAGTATCACAACTTGCTACTTGCTTGCGCTGCACCCGAGGTTTGCCGATAATGCAGGACAGCATGCTGCTTGCTGCAGGTCGGGTGGTCCGTGGGCACATCCACGATGCGCCTGTCCTTGCCGAAGAGGTACCCCACATTTTTGTGAATCGGTATCACCTTTGGACCTTCATTCCCCTTGGCGAAGATGTAGAGCCGCCATTTCGTTGCAGGCCTCCGTGCTTCCATGGGAACGGTGAACTTCAGCGGAATACCATTCTTGGCGTTGTCCTGAAATGTCTGGCTACCCATCCCTCGGACTGAAATCGTTTACTCCCTCCGCTGGGAAATGATTTGTTTTAGCTTCCGAACACCCGTCCTCCAAAGCTAAAAGGCCGGACGGCTCGAAGTTTGGCTCCTCCTTTGGCTGGTCACTTGCCTCATCCTTCCCTTTGCCTTTGCCCTTGCCAAAGCTATCGCCCTTCCAGCCCTCACCCTTCCCAAAGCTGTCTCCCTTGCCGAAGCTGTCTCCCTTGCCGAAGCTGTCTCCCTTGCCGAAGCCCTTGCCGAAGCGATCGAAGCTATCGCCCTTGCCAAAGCCTGGGCCGTTTCAGCTTGCTTCATGAAATGAGCACAGACCCCCAGGTGGCACTTGACAGTTGGCAGTTGGCCAACTAGCACAGGCGCACGTGCTTGCAGTCAAGGGCAACCAAAGATAGCTCACAAAATCGCGCTAAGTGCATTCCACGTGGCTGTCAAAGCCGCCGTCACGGCTCCTAGACGGCTCTGGCAGCTTCTTGGATCCGTTCGCCTTCCCCTTTGGCCGCTCAACCGGGATGTCACTGTCAGAAGCATCCACTGGATCAGCTTTCCTCTTCTTCGACTTTGGCTCCTGCTTTACCTCCTCCTTCTTTGGCGGCGCTTTTGCCTTTCCCTTGGAAGGCCGCTCCAGATTCAGGTCGCTATCTGAATCATCGGGGCCCATGCTGAAGCCTGCTTCGACATTCCCCAAAACGCTCTTCTTTGAGCCGACCCGCGGATTTTGGCTTGCTGGAACGGGAGCCGAGGATAGACCCGGTGCTCAGCACAAGAAAGGATTGGACCATTCCTGTCAATTGCCCTCCTCACACTGCCCAGTGTGCATACTGAAAAATGTCTTGGGTGAAATCATATGTCTTTGCATGCCGGGCTTCTGGGCTCGCAATGCAGTGCTTTGACGGCCCCACAACATTTAAGAACTCAAGCCTTACTGAAGCAAACGCTGCCGCGTAATTACAACGCCTGTGCCAATTGCAGCTCCAGCCTCCCCTCCTCAAGGTTTCCCTGGTCCGCTTCGTTCAAAAGGGAACTTATCCGTCTGGCAGACTAACAAAGGAACGACTAAAAGAAAAAAAGCCATGTAAAACAGCGAAAGGAACAGAATATAAAAAAAATAGAATAGAAAAGAGCCTCTCTGGGATTGCTTGCCTCCCCGCAGGCCCTCTGCCCTCGCTCGATCGGGGCCCGGTGCCTGGGCCGGGGAAGCCTCCGAGCTCAGCCTTGCCAGCACCTGGAGCGCCTTTTCCGGCGAGGGACTTACACGGAGCTGCCGTCTCCGAAGCAACCGGCCAGGCGTTGGCACAGGTTGCCGCAAACTGTTTTGCGTGCGGTGAGAAGCAAGGTTTTCAAGAAGCTTCTGCCAAGCTGGGGCGGCCAACGCCAGAAAACTTGGTTGCTGTTGACCCCCCTGCAAAACGTGAATAACTCTTGGGGGGGTTTAGTGGAAAACGCCGTTATTGCTCAAAAAGTTAAAGCCTAAAGATCCAACCCAATAGCAGTCAAGAAAAGCGGGGCAAATAGCCAGCAACATGCACCAACCCTTCGGAAGAACACATCTTGCATACCCTTTCTCAAAGTTTCGGAGCACAGGTCCTGGCAGAATAACGCCACCAAACAAAACACATACAACAAGAAAGTGCTGGACATCCAGCCTCTGCTGCTCTCCGACCACCTCAGATCAGGTGAAACGAGTGCTTGGCTCATACAAGCTC